AAAAAAAAAAAAAAAAAAAAAAAAAAAAAAAAAAAAAAAAAAAAAAAAAAAAAAAAAAAAAACAGACTAAACATATAAAATCGGCAGCAGATTACATGGAAAACCGAACAAGAGAGAGTCTAACAAGCAACCTAGGGTGCAATTCCCATCCTGCCCTTCCTAGCATACATATTAATAGTAGGAGGTCTAATATGTAGATGAAAAGGTTTTTTGTCACAATTTTTTCTCGTTAATTAACTCATCATTTTAGAGAGCGAAATTTCATACTAAATATATTCATTACTGTTTTCTGTTTGTGCTACAGCTTGCCATGACTGTCTCATATCTCTGTACAAGCAATGGAGAGGAATTTCCTGGATATGATGCTCTCTTGAAAGTTGGGTAAGTGATGCCATTGTATTCTATATTGTTATACGCTTCATAATTATTTTTTTGAACAAGAATTAGGCATTATTTTTTCTATAAGAAAGCAGCTTTTATTAAATAAAATGAATGAGAGATATGGGGCAAACAAATGTTACAAAGAACCACAACAAGGTTGGTTACATGATTTGGAGGGCAGGGGAAGCGTGAAATTGTTTTCATTTGGCATAATTTCCAGCTTTCAATTTTCATCTGTTTGCTTGCCAAATTTACTAATACTTGCATGTCACGTATGCGTTTCATTTCCTATTTCATTACATTTGGCAAAGTAATTTATTTATTATTTTAGATAAATTACTCTTTTGGTTTCTGATGTTTAAATTAGTCCCTAGATTTCAAAACTAAACAATCAAATTCCAATGTTTATAAAATGTTTGATTTTGTTCCGTGAACTAATGAAATCTGTTAGTTAATGAAAGATGCCGTGGTAATTTTTGAAAATAAAAAATATATATTAAAACTATAATAATAATAATCATAATTAAAAATATAAGTTTTTCTTTCCTCCCACCCTTCCCTTTCCTTCTCCTTCCTTCAATAAATTCACCGTGGTTGATTCTGGTGCTGCAGCAGCTTTCTTCCTCTCTCATCTCTCTCTTTTTCTTTTCTTCTTTTTCATCTTTTCTTCATCAGTTTTTTTTTTTTTTAATTATTTTTCAAATCTAATATTTAAACCCAGATCTGAAAAGAAATATCACCTTTGTAACGAATGTGGGGGTAACGGGGATGTGTGGTGGAATCATGTTCTGCCGCTGCCGAGATGTGGGGAGCTGTCTCAAATATGTGGATTCTTGGGTTCGCTGATTCATGGGTAGTTATCAAAAGAAATAATCCAAGCATTGATTGTTATTGTGACGTCTGTAACCTCAGTTTTTCATAATTTATTTTACTAATTGTGTTTGGTATAATTTTCCTTGAAATCATTCTATTCTATACAATTTCTTGTTATCTGTTTGTGTACGTATGCTACCATGGTGTATCAATCATTGGAGGTGGTCCGAAAATTTTTGGAGTCTTGTGCTAGAATTTTAGCCATACAGTGGCCAGTTTAGAAGACTACAGAATAACTCTTTATGAAATGAGGAAAGATTTACTGGCCATCGTACTCTTTGGAGTATTAGTCACATTGATTGATATTTACTTATTCAGGTTTACTTTAAGCATAACCAATGATATTCTTCGATCGATGGATTGATTCATATTTGACCGATTGAAGCAAGAAAGTTCTTTTAATGTTGTGGAAATCTAATAATTTCTTGCTATAGTCTGGATGCCTGAAGGCACAGGTAAGCTTCACGTCTTTTGCCTGTCAGGCTGAGAATACTGGAAACGTTAATAGTCGCTAATTTCTCAGGAGTTTTAGGCCTCATACTTGTCTTGTCACGCCGTAGAAATAAATAGCTATTGTATGTTTTTGTTGTGTGAAGCTCTTGACCAGACTTCACATATGCCCCAGTGGTCTTACATTTTAGTATATGACATTTGCATTTGCTTTGTCATTCTATATTAGCTAACTATGTTTTTTTTTCCTGATTCTTAACTTTGCAGCTGCAGGCTTGGTGAATGCAGAATTATTTTATGTGAATCAGGATCAAAACACCGATTGCAAAAGTTACAGCTTAATTTTCCAAAGTTAGTCTTATCAAAGCTATATACTACCGTTAGCCAAACATAGCTGACCTTGTTGAGTATCTTAATCGCTAATAATAGATTTGATCTTTTAAAACAAATTCATTTTATGTAGAGAGTTTTGAAGTAACTTAGATAGCAATATATATTTGTTAAGTTTACATCATCATTGACTAGGAAAACAAATAAATGAACGTTCGTATGAACCATGTCCATGCAATAATAGTCTTTTTTTCAAGCACTAGAGATATCATTCATAATGGTATCAGCCGTTACCCTGATAATAGATTTGATCTTTTAAAACGAATTGTTGTTATATACATCCTTATTGGATAGGAAAGCTTTTCTTTCCTCACCAATATATATGATTCTAGTTAATAGCTTGCTGTAGTAGTGTGATTTAACGTAATTTTGTTTTCACTTTGATGCAGTGATGACGTCTCCTTTGCATTGAAAGACAGTAAGGATCTACCTTGGTTGGCTAAGTATCTATGAGTTAGTTGCTAATGTCTGTAAGAAACAATTTTGATGTTATAGTATATCAGTTTCAATTTCTCCCATAAGAAACATTTGAACCTTCCTTTGGAAATGTGGGAAACATGTCAGGTTTAAGCTACTTTTTTTCATCTCTTAATTTGTTCTCATGGGAGGCTTGTTTTTAGATAAGTAAAGTTGTCTACTGAGAATTATGTTGTTACGAACAATGGTTTCCATTGTATACTATGAGTAGTGTCTGACATGACCCTTTCGGAAGCTCTTAGTCGGCAGTGGCCAACTTTGAAAGTAATATGCCAATGATTACGTTCAATTCTCCTGGCAAACGAACTTTAGTTTACTCAATAAGTTATTGATGACTTGTCATTGTATGCTGCCTCATGTTGAGTCTCATTTCTGGTAATTGAAGTAGGTAGCTAGACAATCAAAGAACAAACTAGGAAGGTGTTAGAACAAGAATCTTGTTATTAAGAGCTAAGTCACACATGAAATAACTATCAAGTTCCACATGTTTAGTTTTCTAATAAAGATAGGGTTTGCACTTAAGTGAACTGCATCAAATTATCCCACCACAAAACTTAAGGCTTAGGTTAATGAATACACAAATAATAAAACATTGGTCAAAGCCATCAATTCAACAGCAACCATAGCAAGACAAAGATGTTTAGACTTTGTACTTGAAGAACAAATGGTAGACCGTTTCTTAGAACTTCCAAGTCCAAGATTTTCAACCCAAAAAATAAATAAATAAATAAAATTAAAAATAAAATAAAATCTGTAAGTTGACTTAAGGTCCTTAGGGTTCATCAACCTCAAGAAAGTCATAGAGAACAAGTTCTAGTGGAGTAAGAAGTAAACCGTGATAATAAGCTAATTGCCAATGAATAATATGAACATGTACATGTTGACATGCCATATTGTAAAGCACCAACAGTATTCTATACATGGTTTTGGCTTGAGGGCCTTGGTCCTGGATTTCCATTTCTTAAGCATGGTTTATTTAAGAATTTGGTTAGTTATTAGATTTGAGAACTTGAATTTTGATATTGATCTTATTCATGTTTCTTATCCATGTTTCTAGTTCTTGTCCTCGGTCCTTGTTCATGTTCTTATTATTGTCCTTAATTCTTGTCCTTGTCCCTAATACACTCCCTACAATTTACGGTACAAAACATAAACCTGACAACCTGTGTCCAAGACTTCATGTGTTCTAGACGACACAATCTAAATACCTACGTCAAAAGCTTCATGCATTTCAAGAGACATAGTTTAAACATACATCCATCATGTGTTCTCTATGATATAGTTTGGAACCTACATTTGGGGATTCATGTGTTCCCTAAAATGTAGTCTGAAACCTACGTTCAAGATTTCATGTTCCAGGCAATGCAGTCTAAATACCTATGTTAGGGCTTCATACGTTCCCTGCAACACAGTCTAAATGGCTATGCCCATAGCTTCATGGGTTCCTAATGGGTTTCTAACAGCATAGTCTGAAGCTGGCATCTTGAGTTTCATATGTTCCCTGTAGTACAATTTAAAAACTTACATCCAAAGCTTCTTGGACTTCCTGTGATACAATTTGAAAACCTATATCCAAAGCTTTTTACGTTTAAAGAAATATGCTCTAGAGCATTCTTAAGTTCTAAGGTTGTGTAGAGTTGTACTTAGGTTCTAAGTTTGTGTAGAGTTGTACTTAGCAGTTTTCGTGTGAGGGTGGGCATAGGACTTGTGTTGTGCATTTCTCTTGGTGCTTTATTTTAGAGATTTTAACTAAAGAGGCAATTGAGGAACGCAAGTTTTACAAGTAGAAATTCACACATTTTCATTTAGGAAAAATAGATGAATGTTCCCTCAAGCACTTATTTCAATATTTGAAAAATAAAATCATGCCCTTTTACCAATGCAAGGGAGACTTAGTTTATGAAGGATCATAAATAAACTATTCGTTAGAAGATCAATAATACTTAAGGTGTTGGATATAATTACATGAATATAATAAACTTTTGATCTAATTGTAATTACAAACAACTTGTGAATACCGACTTATATATAGCGGCTTTATATAGACAACTCTATATATCACTTCTTTTTCTTTAATTAAAATAGCATAACGTTTTATGGTAGCATGTACATGGCTGACATAATCAATGTACACGTTAACTTTACAACCTTTCATTATTGGGATGGTTATCAGAATGCCCAATTCATAGCTTTCACAACCCCTATTGAATTTCAACTGATTGTATAGCAAGTTTGGCGGCCACCGTAGAAATATTTGCTTTACTTAATTCCAGAGATCTATCCAGCCTTTCAAAAGTATTCTTGATATCCATTGCTTCGAGTTTTTTTAGCTGCAAACTTTGTAACTCAGATTTAGTTGATCCTGAAAAGTATATAAATTAATTTATTAAATAAATAAACTCTATTGATTTTTGTTCCTATCGGATATCCAAAGCCTGGTCTAGTTCAAAGAGAATTTACCTGAAATTGGTTGGAAGGCTGCGAAGGAAACTCTTTCAGCTAAGGATGGTACAAAATGTTCATCAATGTCCACATATATACCCTTTTCAGCCCAAGTAAGTGAGTTCAGAATATGAGTCTGCAATAATGCCTCCTTGGGAGCCTGGTGATAAAGAACATATATTTTGAACATTATCTAATATTATTAACAGTGAGTTTAGTATGATTTTTCAAAAAACAAAAACATGAAAAACCATATTTTTTATAGAGAAAATGAAATGATATACAAAGGGCATACAAAATAATAATAATAAATAAAACAGCCTAAAATAGGAGCCAAAAAAAGAACCAAGTTCTGAGAATAAGAATAAGAATAAGAATAAGAATAAGAATAAGCAGCACGGATAACTATTTGTTGAAGGGTCACTTGTAGATACATGCATGAATAGATACATGTGTTGAAGGATCACTTGTAGATACATGTATAAATAGATACCATGTGTTGATGAGTCACTTGTAGATACATGTATGAATAGATACGTGTGTTGAACGGTCACTTGTACATGTATAGATACATGTAGGTTCATTAGTTCCTAATTAAATAGGTGCATGACTTTTGGACATTAAATAGTAATGGGGAATGTCCCAAATTACCTATATATATGTATGTAAGTTCATTGATTTTCTACTTCTTCCACCAATGCCAACTTAGTATCTTGACGTGCTACTGGTGCAAATACCTTCTCATAATCAACTCCATACTTCTGCTTGTATCCTTTGGCAACTAGTCATGACTTGTACTTATCTACCTCACCATGTTCATTCAACTTGGTTTTGAAAACCCATTTTACTCCAATTGTTTTCTGCCCTTCAGGAAGATCAGTGAGCTCCTAAGTCTTATTCTTCTCTATGGATTTGATTTCACTGTCCATGACTTCTCTCCATTTTTTCTCCTTTACAACTTCTTCATAGACAATTGGATCACTATCCATAAAGAAGGCAAAATAAGCACTATCACTTGAGTCATAGTCCATCTCATAATCAATCATCCAAGTTGGTCTCCTTGTTCTTGGGTTTCTTTGACTGTGATCATGATCTTCTTCTTCTACTGGATCTTCTTCTACTGGATCTTCTGGTTGAGCTTGTGATAAGGGCTTCAGCTTGTTCTTCTTCAAGATCTACAAGAATCTACTGATTCATAGTGATCTTTTCTTCCCATGTCCAAGTCTTCTTTACGTCAAAGATTACATTATGACTTACCACCACCTTTTTTGTCAAAGGATCATAGAGCTTGTACGCCTTAAAAGTCTCGCTTACTCCAAGGAACACACATTTCAAACTCTTGTCCTCAAGTTTCTTCCTTTTCTCGTCAGGAACGTGTGCATATGCAATGCACCCAAAAATTCTAAAGTGGTCTACCGCAGACTGCCTTCCGCTCCATGCTTCTTGTGGAGTCATATATCTAACAGAGAAAGTAGGGCTCCGGTTGAGAATGTGAACGGACCACACAACAGCTTCTGGCCAGAATTCCTTCGGAACTTCTCCTTTATTTAGCAAACTTCGAACCATGTTGAGAATGGTCCTATTCTTCCTTTCAACCACACCATTTTGTTGTGGTGTATATGCTGCTGTCAACTACCTCCTTATGCCTTTCTCTTCACAAAACTTAATAAACTCGTTCGAGCAGAACTCTCCACCTCTGTCAGTTCTTAAAGCCTTAACACTTCTTCCAGTTTCCATCTTCATCATAGCACAAAAATTCTTGAAGCAATCAAAGACTTTTGATTTGGCGTGCAAGAAATAAGTCCATGTTTTTCTACTAAAATCATCGATGAGGGTCATAAAATATTTCTTGTTACCCTTTGATACTAGAGAGATTGGACCACATATGTCTGAATGAATCAACTCCATAATTGCTCGAGCTCTTCTTGATTTTTCGGATAGAATAGAATTTCTTTCATGCTTTGCTACTACACAGCTCTCGCAAATTTCTGTTGGAGGAGTGATGTCTAACAACCCAGTCACCGTCTTCTTTGAAGATAACGTCTTTAACCCTTTAAAGTGTAGATGAGCATACCTAAAATGCCAAAGCCAATTGATATCTTCTTTCTTTACCATCAAACTTTTGGCAACGATATTTAACGTCAATAGATATAAGCGATTAGTGGTCATCTGCATCTTAACATTCGATCCTCTTTTGGAGTCATAAATCTCACATTCATTATTTTGGAATGTGATCGTAGACCCCTTTTCTTGCAATTGACTGATACTAAGCACGTTGGCCTTCAAATCGGGAATGTAAAACACATTAGAAATCGACTCTACGAAGCCATTTCTAGTCTTGATATCTACTGTTCCTTTCCCCATCACTTGGACTGTTGCATTGTTGCCAAGACAAACAGTAGTACGAAAATTTTCATCCCGGGTTGAGAAGAATTCCTTATAACCTGTCATATGGTTGCTACATCCAGAGTCTACGACCCATACACCTTAATCTGCAACCTTCCTAGCATGGAATGACATTAACAATGTTTCTTCTTCTCTTTTCTCTGCAAAGTTGGATTGATCTCTTTTCTCTGCAAAGTTGGATTGATCTCTTTTCTCAGCAAAGTTGGATTGATCTCTTTTCTCCTTTTGGAGCCTGGTATAACATTCATTCTTGTAATGTCCAAGGCATTCACATCGGTAGCATTCCACCTTAGGCTTGTCAAAATGCCTCTTGCCTTTGTTGTCATAATCGTCTCTGACTAGATCTGCTAACTTGCCACATCTCCACTTCTTTCTCGACCGCCTCTCCCACGACCTCTGCCTCTTCTTTGCCCTCTACCTCTGGAGCTTGAAGTTTCACCTGGTGTAGATATCTTTAAGGCTGTCATCTCCTCTATTGCACTTATACGATTGAGCTTCTGCTCATGTACTAGCAGGGAGCTTCGGAGTTCATCTATTTGCATCTCTTCGACATTGTTTGCTTCTTCAATAGAACATACAATGTAATCGAACTTTGGAGTTAGAGATCGCAAAATCTTTTTTACAACCACAACATCCGTGAATGAATCACCATGCATCCTCATTTTACTTGCAAGACTCATAACCTTGCCAATATAATCATTCACCGTTTCTACCTTTTGCATTTGGAGAATTTCAAAATCTCTTCTAATTGCTTGAAGTTGAGCATGCTTTACTCTCGTTGAGCCTTGATATTTCCTCCTTATTGAATCCCAAATTTCCTTGGATGTCTTCTTCTGAAGCATTGTTTCCAAGATAGTCCGATCAATGGGCTGGAATAAGTAGTTCTTGACCGTCAGGTCCTTCAACTTCGATGTTGCCAACCGTTGCTATTGAACAACTAAAAGTACCTCACCTTCATTTGGCTCTACATAACCTATCTCCACCATATCAAAGAACTCCTTCGATCTGAGGAAATTTTCCATCAACATCGTCCAATGATCATAGTGACCATCGAATCTCAGGATAGCGGGTTGAACGAAGTTATCAACTTGTCTTTCTGCAAGATTGCTCTGATACCTGTTGTCAGAAATTTGGTAGAATTCTTTGGGAGAAGAGAACTTTGTATAACTATGAAGGAATGCTTGATTGATTTTCTACTTCTTCCACCAATGCCAATATACATATATATAGGTAATTTGGGATATTCCCCATTATCATTCATTGTCCAGTCCAAAAGTTATGGACCTATTGAATTAGGAACTAATGATATGGACCTATTGAATTAGGAACTAATGAACCTACATGTATCTATTCATACATGTACTTATACATGTATCTATATATGTACAAGTGACCCTTCAACACATGTATCTATTCATACATGTACTTATACATGTATCTATATATGTACAAGTGACCCTTAAACACATGTATCTATTCATACATATATCTACAAGTGACCCTTCAAGACATGTATCTATTCATACATGTATCTACAAGTGATCCTTCAACACATGTATCAATTCATACATGTATCTACAAGTGACCCTTCAACACATGTATCAATTCATACATGTATCTATTAGTGACCCTTCAACACTATTAAACTCTTTCGTGACCGAAGAAGTCCTCTATGGCAAACGAAAAGTGTTAATCTTGTCATGCGTGATCTACCAGGCAAAGAAACTAACCCTTTTTGGACCCTCACCTTCCACAACCAATAAAATAAAGAAGGAACAGGGTGAGGGAAGCACATAAAATATAAAAGAAAGAACTAAAAGAAAACTTTTAAGACTGGGATTTCAAAGAGAATATTCTTTGAAGATGAAAGGTAAATCCCAATAACCCAAAAAAAAAAAAAAAAAAAAAAAAAAAAAAAAAAAAAAAAAAAAAAAAA